GACTCCGGGTGATTAGAATCGGAACCTTCACAGGTGTGAACGGAAAACTAGCAGCCCAGCGACGGAGCTATATATTGTACAACGTATTAGTAGCTATCTCGGAAAAGTCTACGTAGAAGAGAGATAAGTCTACGTAGAGTCCACCGGTATGTTTTCACATGTTTTAACCCATATTTCACGCCTAGCTGTTGTCAGGGAAGGGTTTTCACAGATTTTAACGTATTTTTCACATCCAGACCCTACCGGAACAAATCGCTCTACGTCGTCTCGAGCCGTAAACCTAGAGAAGATCTCTCACAGATTATACACAGCAACAGTTATTTTCACTGAATTTCTCGTGAATTTCACTCCCCCGGGACTTCAGAACCAGGGCTCTATGTCGCTTCGGTATGCATGATCCCAACGAAGTAGAAGCCATGTCTTGCGGTATGGCAAATGTAGGGTTCAGGGATAAACAGACAGCTAAGTCATGGGCAAGCACAACAGCACTGGCTTCGGATTGGGTTTTCCTCCATCATAATCCGAGTCCGGGTCTGTTGCAGCAACTGCCAACGGTGCACGGGGTTATCATTCAGTCATACACGAAGATGTGCAGATCATACTGTAACCCAAAAATCTTGCAATTCTTGTCCTACACAAGCCACCCGGGGACCCTCATAGCAATCCCGCTAGGTTCGATGATTGATTGGTGCACCGGCAATCAGCTGCAGACAGGCCTGTGTAATCTCGGCAGAATAGGCTTTCCAGCAGTCGCTGGAGCAAGGAGCTTGATTGTATCAGGGACATGTATGTGTGTGTATATATGTCTTATACATGCATAGATACATAGTGTAATTACTAGAAATAATACATGTATGTATATCAATTATACATATATATATATACATACATACATATATATATATAGAGAGAGAGAGCTATGCTGATGTCTAAATGTATATATATATATATATATACATATATATACACATAGATACATACACTGGTATCTATGTATGTGATGTATAACGTAGAGATATACATAGACAGACACCTTCACTCATCTAGATATATGTAACATTATAGATATGTATGTATCGATATATATATAGTAAAATATGTAGCGAACTTCATATGTATATGTGTATATATATATATACATGCACATACTCATACATTCAATATATACCGTACACACCAGACATTGTCACAATATAAACAAGTCTTCGTGTACATATGTATATACAATATATTGTATATATGTATATATATATATAGGGACACCTTCATACATAGAGATAAAACTATATAGATATGTATGTACATCTGTATGCATATGCTCACATGTGTATATACATATATATCCTACACATACAGCAGACATGATCATGTATATTAGCACTATATGAAGAAACTAGTCGCTGTGTACGTGATCATCATATTTATATACATAGTACGGTGGATAATAATATAAGACACTGTATGGACGAGACATACAAACTGCAAAGGTGTGTACATATGTGTACATGTAATCTAAACATGTTTTGTGTGTATATATAGATGTATGTGTGTGTTAAAAAATATCCTATGCTATATACATATACATATTATATATATATGTACATGCATATATATATATACATATACATACATATATATATATAATATGCTCACACAGATAACCGTCATGTAGTGTGTGTGTGTGTGTGCAATCTAGGCGACAAACCAGAGCCTGCACTAGACATGGTGCAAAGTTATCTAGATTAGTCCAACAATTATCATAACAAGACAATGGCAGATTCATCTGGTATATATACACATGCGGACTACTTGCAGCCGATGTATATATGCTCTATGCATGCACATCTACTATAGTGTACATGTTAATACACGTACTATGCTTATGTCTTACACCCATAATATAACTATACACAAAGGCATACATATAGATTTAACTTATTGCACTCGCAAACAAAGCTCTAGCCGACCAGGTTTATGCGGCATCTCGACAGCACATGCTCCCCTTGCTCCTGAAATCTCAAAGCCCGGCTCGCAAGCGAACGACACGAATTAAGCAAGCACTCGCTGCCTGAAAGCCAAATAACTATTACTAATTATTAAATTATACATAGGGAGAGATACAGCCGTATACGTGTGTATATAGCATATGCATACCCGGTACAACCTTATTCTGCGATCATGAGGCTCCTACGACAGCATGTGACACTTGCCCTTGCCACCCGTCCTGACCAAACCGTAATGGTCACAACAATTGTTAAACACTTCCTCGGATGGAACCACATCTATCTCAAGGATCCCAGATGGATTATACTCACCGCGGAAAACGGCATCATGCAGAAACCGCTTCAGCTCCTCCAGATTTCCCTCGCACCACGTCTGCCGGAGGTCCTGGCCGAAGTTGTGGCATTGGAGCTCTTGGTGATCAGTACAGCACCCAGCATGTGCATGTGCAGAGTTCATACGAGCCTGTGATTAAATTGTACACCTCTACGGTCTAGATCCGCGAAGTCCAAGGACCGACTGTATAGTGCTTCGAACGGCAGATTCAACACCAACAGAACATATCGAGCCTGGTAGCCGCATTCCAAAATCCTCGCGAGGTTGGGCATCTCTGGGTCCGTAGCCTGGATCACAGATTGTCTCTCAGAATCGTGGATATAGGAATAGCTAGTATAAGCTTGGGTTGTAGGGTGAATTGTGATTGAAATTTGCCAGGGGTTTGAGCCTGTTCTGACTAAGATATATCTTTAAAGGCTTTTGCTGCAGTACTGGCCTGAGGACCCACAAGATGGCTTCGTGATGAGATGTGTTCGATTCCTGCAAGCTAATATAGCAGTGCGAATGCAGATCGGATCTCTCGAGACAATAGAATCACATCATGGCATGGTCATGCTGCTGCCATATCTACAGCGAGCAATCCTGAACTGCATTGTGTATTGGAGATGTGACTGGGGTTCCCCGCCAGCCATTCTTGGTGCTCATGAAGAACATTCTTGCCGAAGTACCGCTTGTAGCCGATGGAAGACGTGTCCCGAGCTTGCCTGATCGGTACTGTCTTATTTGCATACCGTGGCATCAAGATGCATCAAGAATCATGAGATCGACACGAACGGAAGCAGCATCCCAACAGCCAGTCGTTCTGTGGGCCCTGAACAGAACCGGCCTTATAAGGCCCCGGCTCTAGCTTACTCGGACGACGATCCCCAGGCTGGAGTGCCCGTACAAAGGATGCAGCTTTGTCCTTCAGGATAGTCTTCCGGACTTCAAGCTTCTGGATCCAAGGCCTTGGATGGCTGTATTGGTGTGGACTGAGTACATACACATATATAGCTCGACATATGAATGTTTGAGGATTGATATATAACATGACACACACTTGTATGTATATATATATATATAGCTAGTCTATATATATATATCTATATATATATATATATACATATATTGTATATAGCGAGAATCAACATGTATATGTGTTCGTATTCTATGTAGACACACTTTAGACCAATCGGAGGGAGACAGTGCGAACCTAAATCTGCTAAAACACTGAAACTCCAATCCTCACTCCGAAGCTAAGCTTATACACCACGACCCCAAGCTCCGGAACCTTTAGCTATATACGTGCCCAACACCCAGAATCCATATACCCGAATCCCACTTGTTTCGAGAGCCTGCTACAGTCAGGGCTCTTGGTCGACAAGGATCCGGAGAGGACATCCATGATGAGGCTCGGGCTCTGGGATACAAGTGATTAGGCCAAGGGTCCAAAACCCAATCATAAGGTACTCAGTTTTAGGACTATGTAGGTGAGGATTTGGGAGAGTATATGACTATCCGGTACTTGAACCCTTGATTGGGGCTATTGTCTGCTAGCCTGAACCCAAGAGCCTCAGCAACAGCAAGGGTTTTGCACTCCATGTTCAGCCAAGATGCACGTTGCCCAAGCCAGTACAGGCTCCTGCCCACCTGGGATACGGAGGAATGTTTCAATCAGACTCTATTTACCAAGTATACGATCATGTGCTAGCTACATGCCATAGTGCGACCAGAACACCAAAACACGTTGAAGTGTTTCTGCAGAACGTACTGGTAGATAGGCGGGGGCAATACACTGCTGGAGGATGCACATGCGGGCTGCTGGTACGAATGTCCGAAGCTTGCCGATCTGACCATAGCCAATATATACAGCACACTTAGCCTAACCAGGCCAACGTTGTCCGAAGATGCTGGGTAGCCGCCGCAAATCAGGCCACCAGGTTTCATCCGGAGGATGTAAAGGACAGCCCGCAAAAATCCTGTAGTGCTGGACAAGCTCTCGAGTTCGGCATCCTTGTTCTTGTCGTACTGCTGCCTTAGATTTGAGATGTCCCCGAATCCTTGCAGTAGACGTGTGAGCTAAGTCTAACTAATATGTACATCTATCATCATGATTATTATATACATGATATGTTTCACAATAAACCGTAATTGAACATATATATATATATATATATATATATATTTACATATATGTGAGCATGAATGTTCCACAAAAACAAAAATTGTATACACTTGCTTGATGTATATATGTATATTCCATGAAACAGTTAGTTTATCGTGTCTTGCAGTGGATAAGTGCATACTATTGTTTGTGTGTAATTCTAAATGTTATATATCTATACATGCTATATAAAGCTAGAGTGAGATCTAGCAATAACTACCACCCAAGACAGCACATATGATGATAATGCATCTGTACTATATATATATATAGTATATCTATCCATGCGATTCTGTGGTACAGTATATATATATATATATTGTATAATATATACTACAGTCATGATATTATAAAATACAGTAATACAGATGCATTGTCATCATGGTACATGTGTGTGTGCATTCTGATTAATCACATAAGACAGGGTTCGCAGCCATCTTCCTGTCCTTGAATGCCTTGGCCACGGCGCAGCCGAATCCACTGAACATCTCGAGGCACTCCAAGTCCTCGCGATCAAGCA